ATAACGAATCTTTTCTCCTCTGAGCGCTTATATGTTTTCCTTCCTTTTCGAGTGACAGAATAAGTTCTTTCCTTGTTGTTATTTGATTCTGTAGTTCTTGCTCATTATCTATTTCATGTGCTGCTAAGCTGCGTTTTAACTGGCTTGCTAATACTTCATATAATTCAAAATGTGCTTTGTGTCCATTGATATCATGATATATACACTGGTTTGGTTCCTGAACTATCGGCTGTTCCGTAGGTGATACTTTCACTGTTGAATCAGACTTACCTGTAAATATCGAATCTTCTGATTTATTGTGTATTGGATAGTTTTTATCAGGTTGTTCTTCAATGTTACCTTGAGAAAGAGTTGCCGTTGAAATACTTCGTTGTTCATCAGACGAATTAGTTGTGCCTAAATTACGATCATCGATGATCTTTTTACATGAATTCACCGTGCTTAAACTTTTTACATCCGCAGAATGAATTTCTGCAGCTGCTGTTAATAGATTTTCAACCGTTCGTTCTGCACTTTGTTTTGGATCATCAGTTGTCTTGAGAGTTCTTGATTTTAAAGTAACACCGGGGAAAGTGTTAGAAAATTGCTCCTGCGACTTGCTCGGATCAAAAGATGAATTCACTACTGGATCAATAAATTCAGCGCATTGTAGTCCACTGAAGTGAAATTTCAATATCACTCCAATCCAATGTGAATCTTGAACATAATAAGGAATGAGAGACACACGTTCTCCAGTCTGAGCTTCCTTTGCCTGTCGCAATCGTTCTTGCCATTGATCTGTCTTATTATCATCAACAGGTGGTAATGGGCTAATTATTTTAGGAAAACGATCAGGAAATTCCTGGAGTTCCTTGTTCAATTTAGTTAATATAATACTCTGATTGTTTTCAAAGTCGATTGATTGACTTGAGACTTTTCCCGGGCTAGTCGGTTTATAATGATCGCGTTGCGTAGCTTGTGTTCTCGGCATGGCGGATTGTCAAAATGAAAATATTAAATTTTTGTCGATAGTATTGTCCAAAGAAGTTTCTAAAACGGAATGATGGTATCTTATTTGCATACACTCATCTAGATCTCTATGAAAGGATGAAAATGCTCGAAGAGCAATTGTTTTCAATTGGCAGATTCTCTGATGATGAGAACTGATTTCGCTCGCGTATATAAAATATCTGAGGTCTTATATCCGAGTTAGGGAATTTGTTGAAAGACCTCACATAAATTTTGGAAGGTTAAGAAAAACCTATAAAGAAAATAGACATATGGGAGAATATTTGTTTAGAGTGGTCATGAAAAAATGGGAAAAGTACATGAGAAACAGTACAGACTCCAACATTGAAGCTACAGTGTCTATCGAAGTCTTTGATCTATACATTTTTTTTCATAGAATTTTGATGCCAAAGTAATTCTAAACCGTTGATACGTGTCTCTACCATAGAAAACAGTAATGAAAGAAAACGTTTTGTGCCAGAAGATAACCTTTTCATCTTTTAAATCAAAGATAGCCTATTGTTCTATGACTATGAACGAAATGAGATATCAATAAAGAGAAGCAGTTGACACATAAGTCCTCGTATTTTTCTATGAATGACATCGTATACTATAAAAGGAATATTCATTCATCAGTTGATAATGACTGTTGTCCTGGTTTCAACAATATTTGTCTTATATTCGTGGAACAATGGTGAATAAAATGACACAGCAGAAAGTATAGAGCTGCTTGTGCAGGAAAGACGCAACTTTAAGTGAAAAAACTTAACCTAAGGCCTCCCGAAACTAATTTAAATTGTCTAAAGAACAGTGACACCGAACCTTGTAATAAAAAATGCCCTGAAGTTTTTGAAAATTGTCACCACAACATATCATTCCCTATAATCTCATAGTGGTATCTCATAAGAAAGTAAGATCTTTCAAATACTTTAATGTGCGACTTAACGTAAGATTTCTAAGACCAATCTTGTTCATGTCAAAAAAAGCACTTAAGACATACCGAAAGTAGTAGAAGCGACATTTGATTACCATATTAAACTTGAAGAAACTTTCTGTTTTTTACATCAGCTAATGGAGAAAAGCATGCTCCATTTTGCTAAGCAATTTAATCGTACTTCAACTTATATCAGAATTATTTACTTTCGATCAGCTCGGTCTGGTTAGCACATTTGCTGGTTGTCATAGATCGTAAAAGTGAGCAAATTGCACGGTCAGACGTTACATTTCCTTTTTCTATTTCTCAATATGCTATAAATAAACTAAAAGCTTATCACAAGATGCAGCGTGAACATCTCTACAATTTATATAATTCAGCTTATTTTAGAGTTGCACTTCTTATTTTCAAAATAAACAAAAAAATGTCTGACTAATTACCAATTTCGCGAACAAGGTCATTGACTAGCACATTCCATACTGCCTCTCTTATTTCTTAAAGTAATGAGTCATTTAAAAGATGCTAATCGATGCCGAATCCAGACCAATTAATACACTTTCCAATTATATATTCTTATTCATTCTTCTATTATTTGTGTAGATCACATATCACATAAGAACAAATCAAACCTGTATGAGTGCTGTTAGCTGAGGAAAATATATGAAATACAAAGATCATTGCGAATCGCTCACAAAGATTTTTGTCTATTTTGGAAATAAGCGGAATTATGTAAATTGTAGAGATTTTCACGCTACGTCTAAATAACCCCTCTTAATAGAAGCCCCCGGGGGCTTCTAAATTGTCCATCAACCAAAATTTTGAAGGGGGCTTCTATTACGCCCTTAAATTTTTCAATGGTTTTAGATGAAAATCTATGTGTTTAAGGAAAATAACTTTGAAAATAATAATAATGATTTTGATTTACAGTAGTCGACAACATTATTGTTCAAATCAAATACAAGAAACCAAAAATTTTCTTGTTATTCCATTTCATACCGATGTTTCTATGTATATAGCACAAGGGGGAAACATCGTACTTTTGTACTTTAAGCACTTTGAAGTACTTTGAAGTACT